GGTTTGTATAGAGCGCTTATAATTTGGCTGTGAAGATACCAGTCTCATATCCCCGTTTTAATCCAGTCGAGTAGTGAAAATATTCGATGCGATAAGAATTGCGAGAAGATAAGAAACTTGATTAAAATTAAAGTTTGTGTAACTCACTATTTATATAAGGAAACTGAAGATAAGCAGTTTGGATCAAATCAAAAAATTAATAAGTATGACAAAAAATACAGTTCAAACCGAGATATATAGCTAGCGTGTGCCAAAATGACTCACTTCAGCAAAAAAACACAAGAGCACGCTCGCGCAATCAACGGCAGCCCACTAATTTAACCGCTTACATTTCACCTTATTAAAATTCTATTCCAATTATAATGTTTAACCGTCTGATCTCTCATGTCGGTCTTTGTTGCATATGTGTATTTATATGCGTTATGCGTTTCAAATAATGTAGAGGAGTACCATATAATAATAAGAAGAATAAGGTATTGATGTTTCAACATCTCGTACTCATGGCGGACATAGAAACGATTTAAAAAGAATGGATCCGATGGCACATTCACAAACTTGTGTTAAGCACAAACTTGCTGTTAAGCAGAACGATTACGTTGTTCAAAAGTGGCCAACACTTAAGTTATTCGGAACCATTGGAACAAGTGAGCCGGAAAGAGTTGCTCGGTTATTCAAAAGGTGTGAGATCATAACAGGCGCAAGATCAATTGAAAGCAAATCGTAGTCGCGAAAATAATGCCACAGTCAACGTTATTACCTCTAAAGGAACAAGTTAAACATGTCAAGGATCTCCATAAAGCGTATTTTTAAAAGTTTTTGAGGGACAGCGTGCCAACTCACATTCTCGAAGTATACAGAACAGGGAAGGTTCTGTCAGCAACCAGTTCAAATCCTCGGACGCGAACTCTTAACATCGTTTTGGAAAATGAAGCACAGACCCAGCTTCTGCGACGGTGAAAATCATCTATACGGAATTAATATTCCGAAGATTTTCAGTCATATTAAGATGTGAAAGCGCGAATATAAATGAAACAATTAATGATAAAATAGTGTAAACGACTTTACGTACTCTCTTTTGGACAGTGTCAAAAACAGGGAGCTCAAAGACGTTTGCCTACCTTTCCCTTTATTAAAATGAACTAACCCTACTGAACTCGGGAAGTAACGAATGGACAAATTATTCAGTTCAATTCAGGTCAGTTCGTTGCTGTAAATGGGCATGAGTCTTTGAATTACCTATTTGCAATACTTCAGTAGGTGC